CTCTTGAAGTCATTCTGTTTCGCTCCATTCTCTCTACATGTCTGAACCACCTCAACAACCCTTCCTCAGCCTCTGGACAACAGTTTTGGTAATCCCGCACCTCCTCCTAACTTCCAAACTACGAATTCTCTGCATTATATTCACACCACACATTGCCCTCAGACATGACATCTCCACTGCCTCCAGCCTTCTCCTCGCTGCAACATTCATCACCCACGCTTCACACCCATATAAGAGCGTTGGTAAAACTATACTCTCATACATTCCCCTCTTTGCCTCCAAGGACAAAGTTCTTTGTCTCCACAGACTCCTAAGTGCACCACTCACTCTTTTTCCCTCATCAATTCTATGATTCACCTCATCTTTCATAGACCCATCTGCTGACACGTCCACTCCCAAATATCTGAATACGTTCACCTCCATACTCTCTCCCTCCAATCTGATATTCAATCTTTCATCACCTAATCTTTTTGTTATCCTCATAACCTTACTCTTTCCTGTATTCACCTTTAATTTTCTTCTTTTGCACACCCTACCAAATTCATCCACCAATCTCTGCAACTTCTCTTCAGAATCTCCCAAGAGCACAGTGTCATCAGCAAAGAGCAGCTGTGACAACTCCCACTTTGTGTGTGATTCTTTATCTTTTAACTCCACGCCTCTTGCCAAGACCCTCGCATTTACTTCTCTTACAACCCCATCTATAAATATATTAAAACAACCACGGTGACATCACACATCCTTGTCTAAGGCCTACTTTTACTGGGAAAAAATTTCCCTCTTTCCTACATACTCTAATTTGAGCCTCACTATCCTCGTTAAAAACTCTTCACTGCTTTCAGTAACCTACCTCCTACACCATACACTTGCAACATCTGCCACATTGCCCCCTATCCACCCTGTCATACGCCTTTTCCAAATCCATAATGCCACAAAGACCTCTTTAGCCTTATCTAAATACTGTTCACTTATATGTTTCACTGTAAACACCTGGTCCACACACCCCCTACCTTTCCTAAAGCCTCCTTGTTCATCTGCTATCCTATTCTCCGTCTTACTCTTAATTCTTTCAATTATAACTCTACCATACACTTTACCAGGTACACTCAACAGACTTATCCCCCTATAATTTTTGCACTCTCTTTTATCCCCTTTGCCTTTATACAAGGAACTATGCATGCTCTCTGCCAATCCCTAGGTACCTTACCCTCTTCCATACATTTATTAAATAATTGCACCAACCACTCCAAAACTATATCCCCACCTGCTTTTAACATTTCTATCTTATCCCATCAATCCCCGGGTGCCTTACCCCCTTTCATTTTGCCTACTGCCTCACGAACTTCCCCCACACTCACAACTGGCTCTTTCTCACTCCTACAAGATGTTATTCCTCCTTGCCCTATACACGAAATCACAGCTTCCCTATCTTCATCAACATTTAACAATTCTTCAAAATATTCCCTCCATCTTCCCAATACCTCTAACTCTCCATTTAATAACTCTCCTCTCCTATTTTTAACTGACAAATCCATTTGTTCTCTAGGCTTTCTTAACTTGTTAATCTCACTCCAAAACTTTTTCTTATTTTCAACAAAATTTGTTGATAACATCTCACCCACTCTCTCATTTGCTCTCTTTTTACATTGCTTCACCACTCTCTTAACCTCTTTTCTTTTTCTCCATATACTCTTCCCTCCTTGCATCACTTCTACTTTGTAAAAACTTCTCATATGCTAACTTTTTCTCCCTTACTACTCTCTTTACATCATCATTCCACCAATCGCTCCTCTTCCCCCCTGCACCCACTTTCCTGTAACCACAAACTTCTGCTGAACACTCTAACACTACATTTTAATCCTACCCCATACCTCTTCGACCCCATTGCCTATGCTCTCATTTGCCCATCTATCCTCCAATAGCTGTTTATATCTTACCCTAACTGCCTCCTCTTTTAGTTTATAAACCTTCACCTCTCTCTTCCCTGATGCTTCTATTCTCCTTGTATCCCATCTACCTTTTACTCTCAGTGTAGCTACAACTAGAAAGTGATCTGATATATCTGTGGCCCCTCTATAAACATGTACATCCTGAAGTCTACTCAGCAGTCTTTTATCTACCAATACATAATCCAACAAACTACTGTCATTTCGCCCTACATCATATCTTGTATACTTATTTATCCTCTTTTTCTTAAAATATGTATTACCTATAACTAAACCCCTTTCTACACAAAGTTCAATCAAAGGGCTCCCATTATCATTTACACCTGGCACCCCAAACTTACCTACCACACCCTCTCTAAAAGTTTCTCCTACTTTAGCATTCAGGTCCCCTACCACAATTACTCTCTCACTTGGTTCAAAGGCTCCTATACATTCACTTAACATCTCCCAAAATCTCTCTCTCTCCTCTGCATTTCCTCTCTTCTCCAGGTGCATACACGCTTATTATGACCCACTTCTCGCATCCAACCTTTACTTTAATCCACATAATTCTTGAATTTACACATTCATATTCTCTTTTCTCCTTCCATAACTGATCATTTAACATTACTGCAACCCCTTCCTTTGCTCTAACTCTCTCAGATACTCCAGATTTAATCCCATTTATTTCCCCCCACTGAAACTCTCCTACCCCCTTCAGCTTTGTTTCGCTTAGAGCCAATGTCAACACAATATAATGAAGAATAAACAGCATTCAGGCAATATAATTAAGCAAAACAAACTTTATTTCTATAAAGTGGTGCACAGTACAATTAGAGTGGTTGATATAAACTATTTTATAGAAAGCACCTTATAATGCAAGGCATTTCAGGCAGCCTTATAGCACTAAACCTGTAGGGGGCCATACAGCACCTGCACACAACTTCTTTAATAGGTGCTCTTATCTTTTTTTTATGTAGTTGTTTAGTGTAGGTTATCTATACACCAGAAGACAATTTCAGGGGACACCACCCCAGCAGGCAGGTCCCAGACCAGACTTAGGTTTCATATACAGTGGTACCTCGAGTTTCGAACAGCTCCCAACTCGAACAATTATGTAAGTGTGTCTTTGTAAGTGCTTTTGTAAGTGTATTTTGGGGGTCTGAAATGGACTAATCTAATTTACATTATTCCTTATGGGAACAAATTCATTCGGTAACGACACTCGAACAGCCTTCTGGAACGAAGTAAGTTCATAAGCTGAGGTACCACTGCATTTGTTTTCTATAATTTGATCAATAAATGTCCTATGCTAAACTATTATTATATTCATTGGGATGCTCTAAACCAGGCATCCCCAACCTGCAGCCAATGTGGACCGTCTAGGAAATGAATGCACCCCTTACATGAAATTATGAATTCACATTTATGTAGGTTCCACAATGTATAGTGTCAACAATATGTACAATGAAGTGAAAGTGTTTGAAACAAAACTGACATATCTGATAAAACAGTTCAGTGCAGAAACTTAGCCCTTTCATAATAAAAGGTTGGGGACTACTGCTGTAAACCCATGAGATCATATAAAGCATAGAGAGGCCAGTCCAATGCCTAAAGAGGCAAATCAGGTTTGATACAAGGAAGGCGAGGGGTAACTCCTCTCTTTAGACCCTAGACCATGGGTTAGACCCTCACCTGGTCTGTAATTTGACTGGCAAAATTAAGCAGTCTTACTTGAGTATCTTATGGATTATCCAGCCTTTTCAAGAGAGTGAACTGGATTTTCAACAACACAGGAATATCACATTTTTCATAGTTTATGAAGCACAGTGCTTTACTTTCTTCCATTATCTGATGAATAAGACATGTGCAGCACTTGGTGGCAATAAAGATAACCAATAATTTCTCATCCTGTCAGCATTGTAAACTAATGTTGCTGGCAATAAAGATACATAAGTGTTGCCCATGCCCCTTATTCATTGTGCAATATCCCTTATTCATCATGTAATATCCCTCATTCATCAATGTGCTGGTACTGTATACAGTATAATTATTTTAAACCATTATTGCTGGGAATAAAGATACAGAAAGTGTTGCACACTTATTCATCCACTTCTCGGTACAGTATATCATCAATAATACTTCTGTTATTAACACGCTGCCCATCTCCCACCAAGGCAGGTTGGCCTAACAAAAAAAAAAAAAAAAAAAAAAAAAAAAAAAACACTTTCACCATCATTCACACTATCAATGTTTTGCCAGAAAAATGTAGATACAACAGTTTAGATGCCCCTAGAAACAGCAATAGTATATGTTCACATTATCTACAGAGTTTATGAATTGAACAAGACTGGTGTTTAATGAATGGAAACTGAATACCTACATTATTTTCTAGCATATAAACATTTAAGTTATATAAGATGATGTTTCCAAGCAGTTGCAGTAAACAATTACTAAACCGTAACCCAAAGCAAAGCCTACCCTCGACTCTGACCTTGAGCATACAAGGTGCAGGGTGATTTTTCACAACTTATTGTGGGGAAAAAAGCATGCCTTATATGCCAGAAAATACAATACAGCCTCTCCTCACTTAGCAACATATTCATTTACCAGTGACTCGGACATACGACGGGCTCTCTGACCAGTACGCATACCTAAATAATGTATATTAGACCTAACAAACCATACCACGGACGGTCTGGAGTTTTGAGACTCTCTGATTGCGGGTTCTATCCCCATCCGTGGTATGGTTTGTTTGCAATCGTGTCATTACGATTTTGTGAGTCAGTTATATTAGAGCTGATTTCCTCTATTTTTATTACAATATACAGTACACTACTGATTAAACATTTAAAAATATACTAAAAATGTTATAAATGGTGCAAAGGTGACATTAAAACAATATGAAAGATGGTTGACACAAACCCACTACCATTTTAGTATGCTCCTCATTTAGCGACGAATTTATTTAATGACATGGTCTTGGGAACAGAACTCTGTCGCTAAGTGACGAGAGGCTGTATTAGCTGGTAATCAATGTTCTATTGCGTCTAAAAAATAAAATGGTGTAATAACCTGTAATGAAGCCCACTGAGATGCTGCTTGTGTTATGTCAGAGCTCTGACTTGGAATGTGCTGGTGTACAGCCAGGAAGCTCTGCCAGTGATCAGTGACGTATTCAACGGTGTGACGCAGCAGCCGGCAAATACGCTTGGTTGCACCACGATACCTCACCTGATGAACAGTGCATATAAAACAAAAATATGAGATGGTAAATTTGAAACACAGTGGAACCTCTACTGTTTTCACATGTCTGTGTCAGTCCACATGCAGATACAGAAATTAATTTTTGCAGAGTGCTGAGGTTCAAAGACCTATGTTGCATAGAAAAATACTTAGTAATAAACTAAAGTAATATAGAACTATACATAAACAATTATATTAAACACTAGCTGCAGTGAGGTCCTTTACTGATAAAACATTTCACTCATGAGTAGGCTACTGTCAGGTACAATACTATACATTACTGTTGCAACCCCTGAATGGGTTGCAATGATTATTATGTATATATATAATTATTATCTTTTCATATAATTTTATATTGCTTATATTTGCGATAATAGCTAAATCGTAAATGTACTGCTTTATATTGTTATTTGACTTAGCTTCCTTTTGTTAAGTAGGATGTAACATATGTGCTCAGTTCAAGTCTTGATTGTCTAACTACTGTAATTATCGCTTGTGGCTCGTTAGACTGCTGGCTTCTGTTTCTGAGCTGCAGCTGTCCACGGAGCTATCACGTGATCGAGGGGGGGTGTCCTCACCTCGCCTGAAGTATTCAGTCTGGTCTAGACTCGCTTGGTGGTTGGACGTATCCCTGACAAGAGCCTAAATCTCCCTTATTGGCCCTTGTTGGAGGATCGTCTCTGTAGCTTTGTTAGTTCTGAAGACTCTGTTCACAGAATATTGTATAGACTTAGTGATTTTCGACGTTGTACTGAGGTTGTGTGTCTCATAGACACTCTGAGTAACTCAGGCCCTGAGCTGTAGCTTCTGACCTAACTTTTACTGGTATCTGTGCATTATCACAGTCGGGGATTTTCTTATGCTGAACTTTAGATTCAGTAGTATGGGAGTTTTGTGACTTTTGTGGAGGATCTGCAGATGGTCCCTACTTAGTGTCGTTATATTATCTCCTTGTTCCTGATTCTGTGTCGCAGTTGCTATTGGGCTTAGCATTCTTTTTATTGTTCAAGCAGACTGTTCTGACTGCCAGTTGGTCAAGAAGTTAGTTTATTTGAGGACTTTGTCAGTCACTTGTTTAAGTCTAGTCGAGTCTTGAGACATAGCGATCTACTTAGAGCACTTACACATATACACACAAACTTACTTGTACATATTTGTAATATCTTATTAAATGTTAATGTACCAGACGGTACTTAAGAATTATAAATGTGATATGTGCTTTCAGCACAATACTATTGTATATGAGAGAAGTGATTATATTTTAATTACTGTGATTAATTTAATTTAATTTGATATACGCCTAGACAACTTAATGACTAATAAATTTATTAAATTTTAATTTATCTAGTTAGTAGCCTACCAGTTGTAATCCTGAAGCACTATTGAATCATACTGAATTCTAATGGACAATTGGACAAGGATACTGACTAATTGTTACGAAAACCCAGTAACAGGCTGGATGCTAGAAGGGCAGTCCTTTCTAGTATTCACTGGAGATCTCTAAGCTTTTAGAATCGCATTTTTTGTAACAATTACTTTTAAGAGCTCACTCATGGGTGAAATGTACCAATAAAGGACTTCACTGCAACTAATACCTTTTCAATTAATGTTGCTATATCTCAAAAATATTTAACACTGAAGGTCATAGAAGAATTAATCTAACCTGTATGCAGCAATATTTAATTACACATTAATAAAAACAGTAACATAAAAACTAATAATAATAATAATTTTATTTTAGCATGATACATGTTTGTACAAAAAATATAACAAATGGGTGTACATGCCCCGAGTTTAGCAGCTCTGAGGTAGATGTGGCCACAAGTGGTCGAGGAAATATCAAAAACCTCGATAATAATTTGTGTGCAACACCCTTTCAATTTTGGTACCACTGGTAGTGTCATCCTACCAGAATGTCTTATAACCTATGCCCTAAGTAAAGAGAAACAATTCTGGAACGTGTAATACGTGTTCAGCTGGCTGTCTGGCTGGCTGGCCGGGTGGATGGCCGGCCGGCTGGCTGACTGGCCAGCTGGCTGGCTGGCTGACCGACAGGCTGGCTGGCCAACTGGCTGGCTCTCTGATTGACTTCGGCTGTCTCCATCTCTGTCTGTATCTACATATCTCTATCTCTGTCTCTGTCTCGCAGGTACACATAAATACAATTCTTCTTCTTTCAACACACCAGCCGTATCCCACCGAGGCGGGGTGGCCCAAAAGGAAAAACGAAAGTTTCTCCTTTTACATTTAGTAATATATACAGGAGAAGGGGTTACTAGCCCCTTGCTCCCGGCATTTTAGTTGCCTCTTACAACACGCATGGCTTACGGAGGAAGAATTCTGTTCCACTTCCCCATGGAGATAAGAGGAAATAAACAAGAACAAGAACTAGAAAGAAAATAGAAGAAAACCCAGAGGGGTGTGTATATATATGCTTGTACATGTATGTGTAGTGTGACCTAAGTGTAAGTAGAAGTAGCAAGACATACCTGAAATCTTGCATGTTTATGAGACAGACAAGACACCAGCAATCCTACCATTATGTAAAACAATTACAGGCAAATACAATTATATACAGTGTAAATTACCTAGGATAACCCAAATATTCCAGACAAAGTGAAATACTGTGCTTGCAAGTCATGTGTAGTAAGCATGACTAGCAAGTTATACGTATTTACACTTGCTCAGGGATCAGATGTGTCGATGACTGCATCGCGTGTAATACCTGTTGGTTCACGAGTGGCTCTCTGAGACAGAAAGAGACAAGCAGAGGGACAATGAGAGAGACATAAGCAGAGACAGAGATAAACAGAGTTAGACAGACAGATAGACAGAAAGTTAGATAGAGAGCTAGACAGACAGACAGAAAGTTAGATAGAGAGCTAGACAGACAGACATGTTTATGTGTAACAGTGAAAACAAATAAAGCCAAGGCAGTGTACACTCATCAAGTGTCACCACTGCTACACTGTCAGCAGTGGACTGGCACTAGTCAGAGAGAAAGAGAGAGAGAACCAGACAGATAAGCAGACAGAAATAAACAGAGAGCAAGACAGATACGGAGAGCTAGACAGACAGACAGCCAGACAGACAGATAGACAGAGCTAAATAGACAGACAGAGAGCTAGACAGACATGTTTATGTGTAACAGTGAAAACAAATAAAGCCAAGGCAGTGGATGCTCATCAAATGTCACCACTGCTACACTGTCAGCAGTGGACTGACACTTGTCTTGCATCATGCTTCAAGGGAACTTATTATTATTATATACTCCCACGTATCCAAAACATTGCTGGGACCTATAAATACTATGTATATATTTCTAGACAATAGTATGTGAAGGGGGTAGGAGAGTTTCAGTGGGGGGAAATATATGGGATTAAATCTGGAGTATCTGAGAGAGTTAGAGCAAAGGAAGGGGTAGCAGTAATGTTAAATGATCAGTTATGGAAGGAGAAAAGAGAATATGAATGTGTAAATTCGAGAATTATGTGGATTAAAGTAAAGGTTGGATGCGAGAAGAGGGTCATAATAAGCGTGTATGCACCTGGAGAAGAGAGGAATGCAGAGGAGAGAGAGAGATTTTGGGAGATGTTAAGTGAATGTATAGGAGCCTTTGAACCAAGTGAGAGAGTAATTGTGGTAGGGGACCTGAATGCTAAAGTAGGAGAAACTTTTAGAGAGGGTGTGGTAGGTAAGTTTGGGGTGCCAGGGTAAATGATAATGGGAGCCCTTTGATTGAACTTTGTATAGAAAGGGGTTTAGTTATAGGTAATACATATTTTAAGAAAAAGAGGATAAATAAGTATACACGATATGATGTAGGGCGAAATGACAGTAGTTTGTTGGATTATGTATTGGTAGATAAAAGACTGTTGAGTAGACTTCAGGATGTACATGTTTATCGAGGGGCCACAGATATATCAGATCACTTTCTAGTTGTAGCTACACTGAGAGTAAAAGGTAGATGGGGATACAAGGAGAATAGAAGCATCAGGGAAGAGAGAGGTGAAGGTTTATAAACTAAAAGAGGAGGCAGTTAGGGTAAGATATAACAGCTATTGGAGGATAGATGGCTAATGAGAGCATAGGCAATGGGGTCAAGAGGAATGGGTAGGTTTAAAAATGTAGTGTTAGAGTGTTCAGCAGAAGTTTGGGGTTACAGAAAGTGGGTCAGGAGGGAAGAGGAGCGATTGGTGGAATGATGATGTAAAGAGAGTAGTAAGGTTAAAAAAAGTAGCATATGAGAAGTTAGGAAGTGATGCAAGGAGGAAGAGTATATGGAGAAAAAGAGAGAGGTTAAGAGAGGTAAAGCAATGTAAAGAGAGCAAATGAGGAAGTGGGTAGTGTTATCAACAAATTTTGTTGAAAGTTAAGAAAAAGTTTTGGAGTGAGATTAACAAGTTAAGGAAGCCTAAGAACAAATGGATTTGTCAGTTAAAAATAGGAGAGGAGAGTTATTAATGGAGAGTTAAGGTATTGGAAAGATGAGAATATTTTGAGGAATTGTTAAAGTGTGAAGAAGATAGGAAGCTGTGATTTCGTGTATAGGGCAAGGAGGAATAACATCTTGTAGGAGTGAGGAAGAGCCAGTTGTGAGTGTGGGGGAAGTTCGTGAGGCAGTAGGTAAAATGAAAGGGGGTAAGGCAGCTGGGATTGATGGGATAAAGATAGAAATGTTAAAAGCAGGTGGGGATATAGTTTTGGAGTGGTTGGTGCAATTATTTAATAATTGTATGGAAGAGGGTAAGGTACCTAGGGATTGGCAGAGAGCATGCATAGTTCCTTTGTATAAAGGCAAAGGGGATAAAAGAGAGTGCAAAAATTATAGGGGGATAAGTCTGTTGAGTGTACCTGGTAAAGTGTATGGTAGAGTTATAATTGAAAGAATTAAGAGTAAGACGGAGAATAGGATAGCAGATGAACAAGGAGGCTTTAGGAAAGGTAGGGGGTGTGTGGACCAGGTGTTTACAGTGAAACATATAAGTGAACAGTATTTAGATAAGGCTAAAGAGGTCTTTGTGGCATTTATGGATTTGGAAAAGGCGTATGACAGGGTGGATAGGGGGCAATGTGGCAGATGTTGCAAGTGTATGGTGTAGGAGGTAGGTTACTGAAAGCAGTGAAGAGTTTTTACGAGGATAGTGAGGCTCAAGTTAGAGTATGTAGAAAAGAGGGAAATTTTTTCCCAGTAAAAGTAGGCCTTAGACAAGGATGTGTGATGTCACCGTGGTTGTTTAATATATTTATAGATGGGGTTGTAAGAGAAGTAAATGCGAGGGTCTTGGCAAGAGGCGTGGAGTTAAAAGATAAAGAATCACACACAGGGTGGGAGTTGTCACAGCTGCTCTTTGCTGATGACACTGTGCTCTTGGGAGATTCTGAAGAGAAGCTGCAGAGATTGGTGGATGAATTTGGTAGGGTGTGCAAAAGAAGAAAATTAAAGGTGAATACAGGAAAGAGTAAGGTTATGAGGATAACAAAAAGATTAGGTGATGAAAGATTGAATATCAGATTGGAGGGAGAGAGTATGGAGGAGGTGAACGTATTCAGATATTTGGGAGTGGACGTGTCAGCGGATGGGTCTATGAAAGATGAGGTGAATCATAGAATTGATGAGGGAAAAAGAGTGAGTGGTGCACTTAGGAGTCTGTGGAGACAGAGAACTTTGTCCTTGGAGGCAAAGAGGGGAATGTATGAGAGTATAGTTTTACCAACGCTCTTATATGGGTGTGAAGCATGGGTGATGAATGTTGCAGCGAGGAGAAGGCTGGAGGCAGTGGAGATGTCATGTCTGAGGGCAATGTGTGGTGTGAATATAATGCAGAGAATTCGTAGTTTGGAAGTTAGGAGGAGGTGCGGGATTACCAAAACTGTTGTCCAGAGGGCTGAGGAAGGGTTGTTGAGGTGGTTCGGACATGTAGAGAGAATGGAGCGAAACAGAATAACTTCAAGAGTGTATCAGTCTGTAGTGGAAGGAAGGCGGGTAGGGGTCGGCCTAGAAAGGGTTGGAGGGAGGGGGTAAAGGAGGTTTTGTGTGCGAGGGGCTTGGACTTCCAGCAGGCATGCGTGAGCGTGTTTGATAGGAGTGAATGGAGACAAATGGTTTTTAATACTTGACGAGCTGTTGGAGTGTGAGCAAAGTAACATTTATGAAGGGATTCAGGGAAACCGGCAGGCCGGACTTGAGTCCTGGAGATGGGAAGTACAGTGCCTGCACTCTGAAGGAGGGGTGTTAATGTTGCAGTTTAAAAACTGTAGTGTAAAGCACCCTTCTGGCAAGACAGTGATGGAGTGAATGATGGTGAAAGTTTTTCTTTTTTGGGCCACCCTGCCTTGGTGGGAATCGGCCAGTGTGATAATAAAAAAAAAAAAATAGTATGTGACAAAGGTAAGTGAAAATGTTCACATGTCACTGTGTTTGTAACTATTTGAGTACTATTTCAGTACCCAATATTAGTGTCAGAACAAAGATTAGCAATGAAATCACAAGAACTACTACAAATTGTAATTATCAGAACATAAAAAATATACAAATTAAAAAAAAAATGAGAAAAAAGGTATATTGGCAACACTTTTGCAAGCAGCAGTGCTTCATATTGCCGTAAGGTGAGCGACAAGCGCCAACTTTGCAGCCTTACATCTCCATAAGTACTGACCCTAGAATTTTATTTAAGGGGTTAATAATTCTTAAATGCTGAATTAATCTAGTCAACCACCAAAGCCAACCTGGAAATATGTAGTTAATCCTGTGTGGAAGAGTTCAATAAGACAAGTAGCAAATGCGAAGAGCTTCATAAAGCCCAGGTGACTTGTCTGTGACACATCGTAGTGGAGTTGTCCATTTTCTTCCTCCACCAGCAACACGTGTTGAAAGATTTCTTTAAAGGGAACTTGATTTAGGATCTGAAAAATCGTAAGCATATTAACCTCTTGAGGGTCCGTGCCTTTGTTTTGTGTGTTTGAAGCCTGGGTCTGTGCCATTGTTCTACTCAACTCACTCAGATAAACTAAGTATTAAGTTTGAACCAAGATATAAGAGAATTTGTCTATGTAGTAAGTGTGCACCATATAAAAACAATCCTGCAGCATACAGTGAATAATGAGGAAAAAATGTGACTGTGTTTATGGTTTAAAACAGTGACTTTGCAGTGTATTTTCGAATTGCTTTTATGGTTGTATGCATGGTTTCTTGATCTTATTTGATAGAATGGAAGACATATTACAGAAATAGAGCTGATTTTGATTGGTTTTAGGACTGAAAATAGGTTAAAATTGAGCTCAAAATTGGGGAAATGTTCAATTTTTGCCGATGTTCAAGAGTAAATAAATCTCATCACACGTCCAATACATGTCAACTGGTGGGTCTAATGTGTGTTCATGAAGGCACTGATATTATTTATTCAATTATTACAATACTGCATAACAGTAAATCTACTGTTTTTTTTTTGTGTGTGTGAATAAAAATTGTGTGAATAAAAAACCAAAATGGAATTCATGTGTAAAGCTTGTAAACATAACTAAAGAACAGAGGAAATGTTATTTTAGTGCTAGGAATACCCGCATTGTTTATTCTGGACCCTATTTTGAAATTGGATTATTTTGAAATTTGTGTGAAACTGGACAAATTACCAATTTTACCAATTTCTGATCACTTTATTGGGTGGTTGAAATAATTGATTGGGCAGTTTCTTGTGCTTAATCATAAATGGAAGGCATACTAGCTTAATAGCTAAGAATTTGGTTGACTGGAACTATCTAATTGGCCTAAAATAGGAGTCAAAATGAGCAAAATCACTGAAGCAGCAAAATTCACAATAGAGTCATTTCATCTATTTTCCCTCAAGTTTCGTACATTTTGTTTTATTGCCTTCAGAAAAAAATTCTCTACCATTTCATAATAAAAAATACAAAAAATTTATTTTAAAACTCTTGGACCCTGTTAACAAGTTTCAGATCAGGGGTCAGGACCCCCAAAGAGTTAAGTATTTACCATAAGCAGTTAAGTATTTACATCAGGATTTTTTTTAAATATACAGGACAGTATTTAACTACTGGTAATAATACACAGTATTAGGGAACAAAAATTACAAAATCATATCTATTCTGACAGTACCACTGCTTACCTTTCCATTAAAAATATTCAAAAAGACTCGGATACAGGTCGGCAATCACTGATTACTAATCACTTTCCTCTGTTCATTAGTTACATTTCCAGGCTTTACACATGAATTCCATTTTGATTTTTTATTCATACAATGAATTTTTATTCACACCAAAAAATAAAAGATTTACTGTTATGCAATATATTAATAATTGTATTAAATAATATCAGTGCATTCATGAATGCATATTAGACCCACCAGTTGGACGTGTTGGACGAGTGACATGATTTGTTTACCCTTGAATATCAGCAAAAATTGAACATTTCCACTGCTTTGAGCTCAATTTCAAACCATTTTCAGTCATGAAACCAATCAAAATCATCTCTATTTCTGTAATATATATTCCATTTTATCAAAGGAGACCAAAAAAATGATAATACAACCATAAAAAAAAATACCAAAAATATGGTTACAGTTTTTTCTCATGCACTGCATGCTGCAGGATTTTTTTATATGGTTCACATTTACCGCATAGACCCATTCTCTTATATCTAGGCCTAAATTTACCGTTCACAGCTCATCTGAGCGAGCTGAGTTTATGGCGTAGTAATACGGGATTGACACTGGCTTCAAAGCCATAGAACAACAGGACCAACACCAAAAGGGTTAAACAACCATGGTGACATCACATCCCTGTCTAAGACCTTACTCTTGTACAAATCCCAACCTCAGCTGACAGCTCAAAATGATTCATCTCACCTACTGAAAAAGCACACTATGCAGTTAGCAGGAGCTAATTTCCAACTAATTTCCAATTAATTTCCTTTCACCACCAATTTCCAATTGGTGGTGAAAGGTTTACCAAGATTCTATTTACCTTTTACACAAATAATTAAAAATGAAGGCAAAATTATAAGAATAAACCAAATGTAAAAAAACATCTATAATCTTCACAATTGATGAGTAAGATATACATGTACAACAGTTGGGTATCTTCAGTGTTGAAATGCTTCATCCACACAGTAGGCTTCCTCAAATACAGAGAACAAATTGAAGGCAGAAGTGATTGTACTACTTCATATTAATTTTTTTTTATTAACACATCAGCCATCTCCCACCAAGGCAGAGTGGTCCAAAAAAGAAAAACTTTCACCATCATTCACTCCAACACTGTCTTGCCAGAGGCGCACTTATGCTACAGTTATAAAACTACAACATTAACACCCCTCCTTCAGAGTGCAGACACTGTACTTTCCATCTCCAGGACTCAAGTCCGGCCCTTCATAAATGTTACCTTGCTCACAATCCAACAACACGTCAAGTCCTATAAATCATTTGCCTCCATTTGCTCCTATCTAACATGCTCAAGCATGTTTGCTGGAAGCCCAAGCCCCCCTCACACAAAAACCTCCTTCACCCCTCCCTCCAACCTTTCCTAGGCCGACTCCTACCCTGCCTTCCCTCCACTACAGATTTATACACTCTCCAAGTCATTCTATTTCCTTCCCTCCTTTCAACATGTCCAAACCACCTCAACAACCCCTCCTCAGCCCTCTGGATAAAAGTTTTTGTAATCCCGCACCTTGTATTAATAACTTAGTAAAATACTGAATACCTGAACTTTGTCTATTAGGTTAAGTCTGCCCGAAATGCCTTGGCATGAGTGTGTCTTTCTTTGTACCAATCAAATTATGAAATGTAAACACACACTGCAACCTTTGCAAAGAAGTCAACTTTTGTTTTGTTCGTTTGTTGTTTGAGATAACGATGATATAATCAAATGTGTTCATTTCCATGAAGCTGAACTCTTCTCCAGGCTGAGGGACTGACAACTTCAAACTATTTCTACAAGGTTGATGGACTGATTATATCATCTTTACCTTATCACTTCTGCTGCCTTCAATCCATTCTCTGCATTTGACTGAAGAAGCCTACCACAGAGACAAAAAGTTTCAACAATAAAGATACCCAACTGTTGAACAAGTGTCTTCCTCATCAACCTGTCAGTATTTTACACCATTTCCAACAATATCAACAATCATATACCTGTACAACATCATTCTCACTGAAGAGTGCCCACAGCTGAGCCGGGTCTTCCTCCTCTTCCCCAGAGCTGTCAACAACCACCCATACATTATCAGCCATCTTATCTTCACTGCAGTTTTGATCTCCCTCGCTGGCACTTGGCAGTGCAGTTTCTTGGAGGTGATGCAGAAAGTCTTCCCTGGCAGGAACTGGATTAAGTATAGTGGAAAGAACAGTAAGGGAGTGGTCAAGGGGCCAGCACCCTAACATTCCTCCACCAACACTGTCACACTCTCCTCCATCAACATTTTCTTGTGTCCATGGGCCCCCAATCTACCAAAAATAATGTTAGATTAGAATCAAATAAAACAAAAAAATATTATAAAGAGTATTACAGTACACAGAAATCTTCCTCCATAAGCCATGTGTGTTGTAAGAGGCAACTAAAATCTCAGGAGCAAGGGACTAGTAACCCATTCTCCTGTATAAATTACTAAATGTAAAAAGAAAAATAATAGTTTTTCTTTATAGGTTGCCCTGCCTTGGTGGGTGACAGCCAGGCCATTAAGAAAAAAATGTTACAGTACATAAACACATCACCTAGTATGTGCTTTGAGTTTCAAAGAAAGACATTACCCAATAACCTTACCTGTTAATAACTTATATGCAATGGCTGGTTTATTAGGTCTAAATCCTATCAATAGCATGAAGGCAATTAAAGTTACATGTAACCTGCACACCATCTGTCAAGGATACTTTAATTCCTAAACCAAGGGTATATTTCATTGTATGCAACATTTATAAAACAGGGGACTATATATGATATCCTGTAAAATTACAAAAGGATTCACAATTATTTTTATATTCATGTGAAAGCAATAAATATTTAGGGATAATACAGTGCCTGGAAAATGGGAAAAAAGATTTGATCCAAAGGAAAGATGGCTCCAATTCTTTGGATCAAGAGTCCTTCACCAGCATTAAGCCCCCCCCCCCCCCCTCCTCTTGAAGGGTCAAGTATTTAGCATAATACACATAAGCACACAATTACACACTATATTAAGCATATTCATCCAACTCCCTGACATACATGGGCAATACATCCATAATTTCTTCAAGAATATTTTTATTACACTAAAAACAAGACTAAACCTCCTAAGATGGGAAGGAAGTATTACAGGATTAAGAACTATTAAGTGCTGTACACAGGAAAGTAAAGGTAAGTGTATACTGAATAGTAGTAGTGTACAAGTCTGTAAAATTAACCAGTCATTGTGTGTTCATGAGACAGAAAGAAAGGATCACCAACCCTGCATGAGTGCAAAAAATTATCAGGTTCATTCATGGAGATGTTGGAAGGTTATTTCAGCAACAATATACAGTACATGACATGGCAATCTGGTCACAGTATAACATCATTACAAACATTAATATCAAAGACACTTTGACTATAAAGATTCTAAGAACAGATAATATAATTAATATTATATTAATAGGTGAACACTAAACCAGTCATAGCATGAACCAGTTCAAGAAGAGTGCCAAAAGGTGTCTGATGAATGTAGCTACAGAAAGGGAGGGGAATGATTTTCTATTTTTTATCTAACATACGTGTAAATTTTACCTTATTCCTAGTAATGACCCTCGTGTAGTAGATAGTCTTTTTAGTATGATAATAAGATGTTATCTTCATTGTAGAATAATAAGAAAATATTATAACCTTTATATTATAATAATAAGGTAAAAGTACCCCAATGGAAATAAGTCACTCTGTCTGACTTTTTTGGGTTATCCTAGGTTCTCTACACATATGCTGCTATGTATGATAATTCTATGTAACTGTATTTGTGTATACCTGAATAAACTTACTTACTTACTTACTTACTTACTAAACCCACAAGGGTCATACAACATCTTGGGAAGAGAGGGAGCAGTGGATGTAATGAGGTTGGATCTGAGATAGTGGAGGGAAGTCCCAATTACTGTACAATAAATGCTTGATACGAAGTACTTTTAAAATAATTATCAAGATCTGCTGTGTAAACTGCATTTCTACCTCTTTTAATTTCATTTTTTTGCAGTATAACTACAAGCTGTAAATGGAAGCCTGTAATTGTTTAACATGATGGTAGGATTGCTTGTGTAGTTTCTGTCTCATAAACTTGCAAGATTTCAGGTATGTCTTACTACTTCTACTTACATTTAGGTCACACAACACATGCACGTACAAGCATATATATATACACACACACACTTCTCTGGGTTTTTTCTTACTGGTTCTTGTTCTTGCTTATTTCCTCTTATCTCCATGGGGAAGTGGAACAGAATTCTTCCTCCATAAGTCATGCGTGTTGTAAGAGGAGACTAAAATGCCAGAAGCAAGGGCCTAGTAACCCCTTCTCTTGTATACATTACTAGCTTTATAAAGAGAAACTTTCGTTTTTCTTTTTGGGCCACCCTGCCTCAGTGGGATATGGCCGGTGTGTTGAAAGAACCGCAAATTATGTATACAACAGTATTGAAGGTATACAGTAGAGTACCTAAGATTTTCTATTTTATAGCTTTAATCTCATTTAACCCCTTGACTGTCGTAACCCCAAACCCTGAGGTGTTTCCTGGTGTCACAAAAAAAAAAAAAAAAAAAAATCTTATGAAATGATAGAAAATCTTTTCCCAATTGTAATGACACCAAAAGAACGAAATTTGATGGAAAACTTACGGAATTACGTTCTCGTGAAGTTAGCGACCTCGGCGATATTTACGAGTCAGCGATTTCGCCCACTTTGAGCCCTATTTTCGGCTAATTCCATTGTTCCAGTTGACCAAACTCATAGCTATTTCTTTAGAACTCCATTTTTTCTATCGACTGAGCACAAGGAACTGCCCATTTACCAATTTCAACTACCCAATAACGTGGTCAGAAATTTGCAATTTGGCCAATTTCACGAAAATTAAAAAATATGACAATTTCAAAATAGGGTCCAGAATGAACAATGCAGACATTCCCGACTCTAAAATAACATTTTCTTTGTTCATCAATCACGTCTCCAGGCCCCTCTGATATTACTCTTGCTTTATATTTTGAATTTTTATTCAAACAAAAAATAGAAGATTTACTGTTATGCAGACTACTGCAATACTGTAATAATTGTATAAATAATGTCAACCCATTCATGACTGCATATTAGAATGGCTACTTGGACATTTATTGGAAAATGACATCACTTGTTTACTTTTGAACATCGGCAAAAATCAAACATTTCCCCTACTTTGAGCTCCATTTCAAGGTTCTTTTCATAATAAAAGTAATCAAAATCACTGTATTTCTATATGTTTTCCATTGTATTAAATGAGACCAAGAAAGCGAGAATACAACCATAAATACTATACGAAAATAGACCAAAAAGTCGGCATTTTAATTAAAAAAAAAAAAGGTAGGAGTTTGTTTTTTCCCATTATGCACTGCGTGCTGTAGGATTTTTTTTATATGGTGTACAATGACCACACAGACCCATTCTATCACATGTGGGCCTACCAGCTTTCTCCTGTTTGATTTGAAGCAACTAGAATTTATGAGTATATACAGTGGTCCCTTGTTTATCGTAATTAATCTGTTCCTGGAGGTGTTACTATTATCGAAATCTACGATTTTCGAATCAATTTTCCCCATAAGAAATAATGTAAATAAAATTAATCCGTTCCCGACACCCAGAAGTATTAAAACAAAAAATTTTTTTACATGAAATATAGATGTAGTACATAAACAATACAATGGGACATGATGAATGAAACATTAACAGCATAACACTTACCTTTAGTGGCAATTCTTCTTTGTGTATGGAAGACTGGAGGAGGAGAGAGATTGGGATTATTTACAGTTTGGAAGGGGAATCCCCTTCCATCAACACCTCAGGTACCAATTGCTTTTCTGGGGTTACTTCTCTTCTCTGTTTCTTAATGCCACTAGGACCAGCTTGAGAGTCACTGGAGTCCTGTCTCGCAAAATAATTGTCCAGAGAGCTCTGTTACTGGTGTCTCTTTAACACTTCCCTAAAATGGGCCAAGACTTTGTCACTGTACATGTTGCCAACATGGCTTGCAACAGCCTTTTCAGGGTGAAGTTTCTCCATAAATCTTTCCATCTTACCCCACATTTCAAAAATCTCCTTAATTTCTGAAGAAGGCAACTTCTTCCATCTCTCTTCCTCCTCCTCTGCAGCAAGATTCTGAGCTGCAATCTGTTGCTCTTCCTGCTGAAGTTCTTGCAGCTCCTCAGTGGTGAGCTCTTCGTTGTGGTCTTCCACCAACTCTTCCACATCCTCCAAACTCACATCCAACCCCATGGAACTCCCCAGTGCCACAATAGATTTAACAACAGACATAGGCTCATCAGGGTTAGCCCCAAACCCTTCAAAATCCCTCTTGTCGACACAATCTGGCCACAATTTTCTCCAAGCAGAGTTCAAAGTCCTGGTAGTCACTCCCTCCCAAGCTGTACCTATAAGGGTTATGCAATGGAGGATGCTGAAGTGTTCTCTTCAAAAATCTCTTAGGGTCAAGTGAGTGTCTGAGGTCACATTCAAGCACCTTTGAAACATTGCTTTGGTGTAGAGTTTTTTAAAGTTTGCAGTGACCTGCTGGTCCATGGGCTGGAGGAAAGGAGCTGTATTCGGGGGCAAAAACTTTACTGTGATGAACCCAAACTCCTCGAAAATAAGGTCATCCAAGTTTGGAGGATGAGCAGGTGCATTGTCCATTACTAGGAGGCACTTGAGATCCAATTTCTTTTCCAGGAGGTAATTCTTCACACTAGGGCCAAACACTTCATTGAACCACTTGACGAAAATTTCCCTCATGACCCATGCCTTACTATTAGATTTCCAAAACACACACAATTTACTCTTCATAACACTGTTTTTCCTGAACACTCTGGGATTTTCAGATTGGTACGCTAATAATGGCTTCACTTTGAAATCCCCACTAGCATTAGCACAGAACATGAGCGTCAGCATGTCTTTCATAGGCTTGTGTCCCGGCAGTGCCTTTTCCTCCTGTGTAATGTAGGTCCTCTTTGGCATTTTCTTCCAAAAGAGGCCTGTTTTGTCACAATTGAACACTTGTTCAGGTTTCAGTTCTTCAGCTTCTATGTACTCCTTGAATTCATTGCACATATTTTTCAGCTGCTTTGCGGTCCGAACTGGCAGCCTCGCCATGCCTTACCACACTGTGTATGCCACTACGGTTCTTAAATCTCTCAAACCAACCTTTGCTGGCCTTAAATTCACTCACATCACCACTAGTTGCAGGCAATTTCTTTACCAGATCGTCGTGCA